CTGTGGGTGGCTATGAACGCATTTCATTAAATTATGAATTTGCTTTTCAATTAAGGGTCTCATCATCGTCACAGTTCAGGTGTGGCCTTTTCTATTTTCCAACTTCATCTTGGCTGAAAGTGAGAAATGGTTCGGTTTGCGCGTAATCCGCGGGACGCGAGGAGGATCTCTTCTGCCCCCATTGTTTTCTTAGGTGTCCTCACCCTGGAGGCCTGACATTCCTCACGTGTCCGGGGCCAATGCAGGGCCGGCGAAGCCGCACAAAGGCATCCGACGCAATCAACGCTGGAAGATCAATGAAGTGTGCGCACGAAACGCCCAAGATGATCCGGGGGGAGGAGAAAAATACCTTCCAGAGGGTTTCGGGAAATGGGCTGACCTCTCGTGAGGGTCCATAAAAAAACCGGAACAGATCAAGTGGTGGACGGCGATCTTCCCGGACCCCTACCCCGCCCAGACGCGCCCACCAGGCGCTGCCTCAGCCCTTTAATCTCCAAAGGCCAGACAGGGAGGGGATGGGGCGCAGGGGGCCAAGTCTCGCACCCTCGGCGCGCCCATCTCTTTCCCCGCAAGTGCCACCGCCGCTGAGTCGCCCGTGCTCCCCTCAGCTTGCAGGCGCCGCGGCTCCAGGGCGGGGCGGAGGGGGTCTGGCGGAGGGGCCGGGGCCGGCGACAGGAATGCCCGGCCTTGCCTCTGTTCGCGGGCAGCCGGCGCGGCACGGCGGTTGGGCCCGCGCGTTGGCCCGGGTCTCCCGCAGAGTCCGGCCCTCCGGGTTTCGAGCCGCCCCGCGGCTCCCACGCCACCGCACGGGGGACGGGCCCCGGGCGCCCCTTTCCCGCCGCGGTCTCCCCTCCCGCGGGCCCGCCGCGCGGGGTGCGCGCGCGCGCGCACACAGACACACAGACACACTGACACACAGACACGCACACGCGCACACGCCGGTCCCAGCTCTCCGTCCCTCCCCGCAAGCCCTCGCAGCCCCGATCGCCCGCTGGCCGGGTCCCTGCCTCCGGTGCGCGGCGCCCCGGCGGCCTCCGCAGGCCCCTCCCCGGGGGCGGGGAGCAGGACGCGCGCGGGAGCCGGGCGGCGGGGGAGTGTCTGGCTGCCCCCGCCCCTCGAGTGAGTGACTGGGCGAGGAGGTCCCCTCCCTCGCTCGCTCCCGGCCCACTCCCGGGGGGACGCTCCGCGCCGCGGCCGCCGGGGCCGCCGCTGCTCTCACACTTGAGTTGGGAGCTGCTCGCCGCGCTCAGTGCCTGGCGAGCTGGCCGCGCGCCGCCGCCTCCCGCCCGCACGCACGCACGCGGGCCCGGCTTCGGGGTTCTCGGCTGCTACTCCCGGCGGCTGGAAGGAGGGGGGAGCCCCGGACACACTGTGGGGAGGAGGAGGAAGAAACCCGGCGCGGAGGAAAGGGGCGGGGGGGGCGGGAGGTTTGCCACCTTCAGCCCCCACTGCGAGCGCCCAAGGTAAGCGGGAGCCATCGCCAGCCCCGGGGCGGGGGGAGTTGGCGGCGGCGGGGCTCCCCGGGCACGCCCGGGTGGGCTGGGAGGGAGGCCTGCGGGGTGTCTGCCGCGCGGAAGGGATGGGAGCCGCGGTCGTGGCGCTGCCCGCGTGCGGCCCGGGCCGGGGGGCTGCTGCCGGTGCGGGGCTGGTGGGGCTGCCAGGGACGGAAGCTGGGGTGGGGGGGCGCTGCAGGGGGCGTCTGCTGGCTGGAGCGGAGGGGTTGGGATGCGGTTGGGGCTGCTGACGGCTTTCGTCACATTGAGGCCTGGGTGGCTGGTGTTAGACACCCCTCCCTCGCCACTCGCACCCCCGCCGCCCGCAGCCTTCCTGCACCTCTAGCTTTGCATGTAGCCGCCGTACTTTGCAAGCCGGAGCTTGAAAGAAAAAAAAACAAAATTCAGGATCTTTTGCTGTGTCTCCAAACCCCTTCTCCCGCTCTGACTGATGGATACGTTTGTGTGGGTGCAGTGATCCCCAGGTTTCTGAAGTTTTGACCTTTTTTTGGGGGTGGCTGGTCTCGGTGCATCTGTTTGCCTACCTCGATGTATTTATTATTCGTGCCCATGCGAGGCTGGCAAGAGAGTGCTTGGTAATTGAACAAGGAAAAAAATTTCACTCCCCTCTGCAGGCAGTTCGCGAAGTGCGACCGCCACGGCTGCCTTTGGTCGGCGGCTGAACGTCCTTTCCTCTTATCCACCCTGCCCCCTCCCTCCACGCCTCCGGTTTTTTTTTTTTGTTTTTTTCCCCCCTCTTACCGTTTGTGTGAGAACAGTCCCTGGGCTTAAGGGCTCTCGTCTCCCATTCATTCCTCTCCTAAAGCTCTGATTTGGCTCAGGCACGATGGTAAAATTTGGGGTGGCTTTCTTTGCTCCAAGAGTTGCACGGTCAAAGAGAAATAGATATACAGAGAAATACGCATTAATCCTGAGGTGACAAGCTCAGCGCGAGACAGAAGTGTTTTGTTTCAGTAGGAAGTTGACGACCTATGTAGGAGGTATCTTCCATCGTGTGTGGGTTAGGAAAATTGTTTTAAAATAGATAGTGATTATGTTGTGCGTGGTTGGAAGCCAGCCATAAGTTCAGCTATTGGAGCAACTCTGAAAGTGATACACCCTGGTCACCCAGAACCGCAGTAAAGACACACAGGCTCTGACTCAGATGTTGAGAGGGGGGCTGACACACCACAGATTTCATGTAGTACTTGTTGTTTTTTAAGGAAACAGTATGGACTCTTTGGAGAAGTGACATATTCATTACACACACAGATGTTATGAACACTTCTCTACTCCAGGTGGTGGTCTCACCTTCTACCTAATGAGAATAACCTTTCAGTTTGGTAGAATTCAGTAGAAAAAAAATCATGGGTAGAATGGGCCTGGGCTACTTTAGTTCTCCTGGGGGGAAGGTGATGTTTCTGAAGGGTCTTTAAACCCAAGATGCTCAATCTGGGAGTTTTCTCCTCCCTTTTCATTCTTCTAGATCTGGATTGTAGGATCCATCAAACATGCCCTGTGTTGACTCTTTGGAAATGCAGTTGATCAGACATGGAAATTAATTTAGACTTGATCACCTGTTTTTGTTTTGCTACGTAAGAAGTGCTTACCCGCATTAAACCAATGCTGGGAGCAGCTCTTCACCAATCACAAATGCGGCATTGAAATTAACCACCCCTCATGTTTCCCGCTGTGCAAACTGGGTTCAGAGAACAGCTCTGGAAGGCTACTAGGAAAAACAACTAAGGCAGCAAACTCAGCACTTGGATGAGTAGATGCCCAAGGAGGAATGGGGTACATCTCTTGTCAAGCTTATCTCCATTGGGCATATTTCCAAGAAAAAATGGCCTTGGTTGGCAGGGAGGTCTTATATCCATTGTTAGAAGTTGATCCTAGAAGGACCCTGAGGTTCTAGCTTCCCGCCTCAGCACTGATTCAGTTTCACTGGTTGAGAGAGCTGATAATATTGTTTTCTTGGCTAGTAATTTACCCTTCTCCCCCCTCCCCCCACCTCACTTTATCACCAAGCATGGATTTCTGGGGATTAATAGACCAATGTATGAAGTTGTGTGAGCTTCTTAAAAGAATCACAGGGTATAAATCAAGCGCTTGTTTATTCATTGGCACTATTTGATGTGACTGTTTCAAAAACCCTTCCAAGGAGGAAGGTGGCTTACCCCATAAAGAGTATCATTTCCAGGCTCATGATGCCTCAGGTTGGATTTTTGACAGGCAGGCCTTGAGCCTTACATCCTGAGCAGTTTGCTCTAGGCTCTTAGGGACCCCTTTCTACTGGGTATTTTCTGTCAAGAGAGGGAGACACCCCAGGCTGGGAGAGGGAGTGTCATGGCGCCTCCCATTAGGGTCTACATTAGAGGACAGGCCACTCATGCAGAGGACCTTAGTGAGAAGTATCACCAGCTTCACTTGAACTTATCAATACAACTTGGAACCATATGAGGCATTCACACAAGGGAAGTTTTGGCCATTTTATGGTCCTTTATAATTTTAGAAGTCCCCTAGCATGGGACAAGTAAAAGTTGGGATCAGTCAGGTTCTCATTCAAAACATGAAAAGCAGATTGCAATAGACCAGCATAAAATACTGCTTAGACAACTGAGAAGGCAGGGTTAGGGCCTGTGTGCAGAGAGGGTTGCAGCACTGCACCTTGATTTAAAATCGGGGACAGTTATGACTTTGAGAGATCATAATTCAAGAGCTTCCCTGAAGTGGCATGTAAATTACACATACACATCTTTTTAAAGTAGGCAATTATTTAGCGTGACTATCTCAGTTCTGAAGTTTGATTTTTATAAGTTACAGTTGCAACAAGAAACAACTTGACATGCTGTGGTTATGCAACTATGACAAGAGTGGTTGGACGTAAATGGGGCAAGGATGAACATGGAAGTGAACGCACCACGGTGTCTGCAGTCACCAAGCATTAAGAAGTTCCTTTACTTTTTTTTTTTTTAAAATTAAATGTACTCCCAAAACTGTACTTCCTAGGTTGTAGGCTGGTCACATACTGTAAAGATTGCTTTCTCTCTGTACTTGTGAAAGGAGATGCAGCTTTCCCAATCTGAAATGGAAACAGAAGCGTCATCTGTGTAACCCCCAGGGCAGCCAGCACACTCATTACCTTGCACTTGGAAGTCACTTGCGTGATACATTGAATGGAATTTACCTAATTAGTTAAGATCTATAATGTGTCAAAAAAAAAACAAAACCCAAAAACCAAAAACAACTCTGGACTACATTCAATGCGGACTTCCATTTTGATAAATCAGTATAATAGTTTGCTAAGAGCTCCATAGTATGCCTCAGGTAAGATTTTTAAATGTCGAAAGATATTTGACAGGAAAGTAACCATGCCAAGCATGAGGTCCTCTCGAATGACTGGAATTTCTGGTTAGGGCATCTTGATTTGGAATATATGTAATGTCCATGTTGGACAAATATTTCCTCACTCGTGATTGTGACTATGGTCCTTATCTTTTGTGCCTGAGGGAGCCAGTAAAGAGCAGTGCCTCCCATTTATAGCGTGCTTTATGGCTCTCATAGTCCTTGCATGTAGCCCGTCTTACTTGAGGATGTGCAGCCGCCATAGGACTCAGGGTTTCCCATGCTGGAATATTCCCATCCTGGGATATGCCTGGATCAGGGCGTGGAGGAGAGGTCCTGGGTGAGCTCAGGTTGCCCCTCCTTTTGGTTTAGTAGATGTCCCCAAGGGAGGCAGTGTTCAGGATTCACTGCTGCTCCCTCTAAAATAACTTAAAACAAGGAAAGTTGAGACCTGTCTGGTGCAGTGAGCTCAGCTGGGCCTCTCCCTTCGCTGCCGTTTACCTCTTACTGCCTTACACCAAATGTCCTTTTCACCTTCCTGTGCTCCCTGAAGCTTTTCCATGGTTTTCTGTCCCCCAGAGTTTCATCCATAAACCCCCTCACCCCCGGATTCCTATCCCACCACCTTACTTTTGCCTACAAGACTTAGGTTTTCTGTGTCTGAATGAGCTTTTCCAGGATTTTAATCACATTTCCAGGCCCACTTCCTCTCACGTCTCCGTCCGGTGTAGACTTCCTGCTTGCAACCCAGGACCTCAGGGCCCCTCTACCTTGTCCTGTGTTGCCCCACACCTGCCGGTTACTCCCGCCTACTTCCCTCCATCAAGCCTTTAGATAGATCTTCCAGCAAGTACCTGCCTCGGCAGGTGTGTGCTTACAGCATTCATGAGTTGAAGTCCACATGCTTTATACCCTGTAGAAAAATAGAATCAGAGCACCCCTAAGTTTAGGGATCTTCCTGCCTCTGTTTTCACAGTTGATTCCACTATATTTTTTACTTTTTAAGGCTTTTAAGCCATTTAATGATAGCTGAAGTACTTGGCTTCTTCATTTCACTTAGCTGTTGCATCCTTTGTTGGATAATAGATAAAGGAATAGCTCAATGATTGTTGTTAGTTTTTAAAGATTTGGGGAACAAATCTTGAAAAGCATTTCATAGATTTGCATAATGGCACCATTGAAAGTCTTTCAAATCTACTTACCACAGAATTTGAATGGTTTATTTCATTTCATCCTCATTACTGTCATTTTTTTTCTCCTTTGGTAAAATAAATGTTGGTTAAATAAACATGACTGTAACATGAACCAAAATTTTCTCCTCATTTGTTGTGATTTTACTTCTCTCCATGAAAACTTTATAGGGTCACAGGACACATTGACGCAGAGCAATGATTCTTTAGCGAAGACCTAACACTGTTGGGTTCCCCTATAAATTTGTGAGCTGTGTTGGCCCTATCAGCAGAGTCAATGGGAGAAAAAGTATTAAAGTGAGGACTACTATTGGCAAAACATCTCCTATTGACTCACGATATACGAACTTGGATTGATCTTTTTATAAAACTACTTCAAAAGTAGGTCCAACACTAGTTATGCAATATCCTGAATGTTCCAGGGCTTTGGGAAGAAGGA